TATATAATTCCCAAGGCAACTTTTCACATTTTCATTTAGTTTAAATTGACTAAAATAACTAAAACTGAAATAAAAATGAATATGGGCATATAAAAAAAAAAGACAAAAACACACAGCAACTACAATTAAAATGAAATTAAAATACAAAAATTATCAAATAAATAAAAACGAAATAAAATATGAATAAAAAGTAATTCAAAATATTAATATAAACTAATGGTATATGAATGATACTAAAGCAACACTGATTGGAACATCCTGCTTTAAATCATATTAGGTTATGCTTTTATTCAAACATCCGCATAAGTGTGATGTCTTGAAATGCTGTCTAGGTAGGGAGCGTGTGAGGTTTTGGATCACAGTGCAACGTTCCCACAACGTTCAGAGAGCGTGTCGGCTGGCATGCATGTCACATGACCTCACGTCTTCATCATGTGACCCTCACACTGTCACATGACGCATGATTCGCTCTCATCTGATGTGTGATTCTTCATGAAGAGAGCTTTACTGTCAGACGCTTTCAGTAAAGCGTACCCAATAACATCATTTTATACATGCCTTAATATTTGTTCAGCAGTTTTTCTTTGCAGGCTGATGTTTACAGATCAGGAGTCGTAACGTGTTTGTGAAGGAGGTTTGATTGTGTCTGTACAGAAGCAGGAACTCCAGACAGTGAATATAATGGATGAGAAAGCGTCCAAACGCCTGTTTCTGTCCACGCAGATCCGCTTACTGAAGGTTTGGATCAGGAAGGATTGAACTCGAGGTCTTCTGTTTGATTTCATTCATGTTTTTAATGAACTTTCATGTTGAACAGACTCTCAAGGGCCTTTGCACAAATATATAGAGTTTTATGTGTTTTTTTCCAACAAATGGTCAGTAAAAGATGCAAATGTTTGTCCAACTCAGGAGTTCAAACTAAGTTGTTCATATTTACTTAATATTACTGGATTAGTATCTAAATATGGTTTGTATGGATTTATATTTTTTTAGCAATGAACAAAAATGCATGATAATAAAAAACACTAATACTTATATAATATTAAAGGAACACTCCACTATTTTTGAAAATAGGCAGAATAGGAACTATACTCTCATTCCGGCGTAATAATCAAGGAACTTTGCTGCCGTACCATGCGTGCAGCAGGCGCAATGATATTACACAGGGAGCTGGAAAATGAGCCTATTTTCAAAAATAGTGGAGTGTTCCTTTAATTTCAGTTAGTTGCCATGGTAATTTTTCATAAATATTTTCAATTTTCATCTAAGATTTTATTTTATTTCAATTAACAACAATAGTTTTAATTAACAATAACAACAATGATCTTAAATTTAATTTTATATTATTTTTAGTAGTTCATCTTCATTTAGTTTTAGTTATTTGCCAAGGCAACATTTCTAATTTTTGTTTACGTTTTTTAAATTTCTCATCTAAAATGTATATTTTATTTCAGCTTTATTATATTTTAGATATATTGTAGTTAACAACAAC